TATACATCAATACTTGTGTGTAATATTAATATATTACACACAAGTAAAACTTCCTCCAAATCGGTTTTACAGGTGACAGGATAAAATTAGTAAATTTTATTGGCAGTGTGTAAAGTAAAACACAATAATCTTCACTACAAATTGCCTACATATTATTTATGTAAATAGTAAGAACTTAGATATTCTGTAGAAAAGTTATCAGGGTCTGCGAATTTATTAATTTTTGTAATTAAGCCTAAAATCATCAATTGTACTCTTTACATTAAATATAAAGTGTTCCAGTTTCGATACATTTCTATTACAATATTTGTTTTATATATCAAATCAAAATAATTTATTTAGTATAGGCTGTTAGAAGCTCCTGTGAAAGTCGAAATTATATATCATAGATTTGTAATTTTTGACGAGAGACTATCTAATGTGAAGAACTAACAAGGAACTCAGCAAGTGCTGCTTTATTCACACAGTTTTATTTCAATTAAATTACACTGTGTGTGATAATTATTTAGTTCTACATAATAAAAAATACGATATTAATTATCTTAACAGTTTCCAAACCACTGGTTTATACAATACATGTTTTTTCTCATGTCGAAACTGAACTTCTTAGTGCAGAATAATATATATTTTCCATTAGAGATATAACTTGTAACTTTGAGTCTATAGCATTTTCTGTAGCAGTATTAAACATACTTAGGCGTGTGGCCTATTGTTAGAGTGCCCAGGTGTGTGATATCTTGCTTCTTTTGCATCGACGCAAAACAATCGAATAGTTATATGCTTAGCCGGCACTTTCTGTGATGTTTACCTTTTACTTTAGTCGAAATTGTTTACTAATTGTGGCTCTTATCACTGCAACCTTTTTTTTACAACTTAAAGAAGCATCTTCGAATTATCTAAGATCTTTAATGAAGTGGTTTCTTCTATATTTACTAATCCCTTATAAGATTTTCCGTAATATATGTCATGGGTTCGGTGCTAGTTGTTAGTTGGAAAATGTAACGGCTGAATAGGCTTGATAAGTTGGTATACTTATAGTCCAAATAAAAAAAAAACTGTAACAACAAACAGATAGAATATAAAAACAGGTCGTATGAATTTCTAAAAATATGATTAGTTGTAAAAACAATTACATACCCCTTTCTTGGGTTTATCTCGTTGTATGAATCTTGTTGTATGAATAAACTATTTATCTATCTATCTATCTATCTCGAACATACAATGCAAATTTATACACTTTATAAATACAAATCTATAATCACAGCATAGATTTTGAATATATACTAAAAATATGATGATCGTGATATTGCCGGAAGAATTTTTTATTATATCGCGTTACTCAATATTTCAAATTATGAAAAATGAATAATAAAAAAGAAATGATTTTAAATATCAAAGACAAAAAGTTTGTCTTTGATGTGTGGTACGATACACCTTTACATATGGATCCAAATAATGAGCTGTAAAGTAGATGAATAAAGAGGGTAACCTCTTGCATGCATTGTCGCATGTTAATGCGGAGATGAGAATGATAGTGAAAAAAATAGACTAAGGAATGAGTACGTAAGAAGAAGTTTGAAAGTGGCACACAACAGAAAACTTTAAATGAAAATGAATGGTCCATTTCAGCATTGCGTACAAAATGTTGTTTGGAAAGTCATCAGCTGTAGCTGTTTTGTAAGAAAGCTTACTTAACATAAAAACAAGGGCACCAAACAAAAAATCCCTCAAAGAACAATTGAGTACTCATAGGTATTCAAATTTGAGTTATCCATTAAACAAAATAAATAACTTTTAATCGTTTCAACACAACAACGCAACAGTGGTTGGACAATGAATGAACATTCAAACAAACTTTTAAGGAACCAAGTTCATGCGAAAGTATTGGAATGGCTGCCTTTTGTAGTAAACATTTCACCCTTGAGAAATTTTAGGTTGGTCGCAGCAAACAAAAATGACTTTTTTAATAATATCCTTAAATTACTTAAGTGTACTTAATATTAATTACATCACAAATGATATAAATTTTCCAATTTTTACGACAAGCAATATGCATGTCGTAAAATTGTATATTATAATATAGACACGATTACGATAACCATAGTAATAGTTTCTTATGCTATTTGGCATTCTCTTAAATTCTGGAAACAAATGTTTATTACTCGTATAACGTGACGTTTTCTATAATTCAGTAATTCTAAGTCAGGAGAACATGATGGTCCATCACTGATGGACTTTAAATAAATTCAGTCGGCACTGTATTCTGTATTAAAAGCGCTGTTTGTTTCATAACACTTCATAGAACAACCACATCGCACAATTTATCCGCTTCATAGAGCCCTTTGTAAAGAAACTGTTATAGTATATCTTCGTGAATAAGATTACCAATCCACTGAAGCTCTTCTTATAGCCATTAAATAATTAATATACAATTATCATATTGCTAATCAGCTACTCTCAAATGAGTTACCCTGGTATAAATATAAATGTATACTTATTCACAAACACGTACGTATGCTCACACACTCACACACACATGTATGCACAAATACACACATACACAAACACACACAAAGCAAAATGTGAACTCTGTTTTTAAATTCCTTTTGTATGTCCTTTTCTTATAATAATTTTGTTTTATAACTCTTCATTAGGCATTGCTTGCTTAGGTATATGGGGAAGGCCCTGGTGACCCGTGTAACCGGTTTCTTTCGGAAACCTATAGCAGGCACCAGCTTTTCACACTGGAGTAATATATAGTCCTAATCATAGCATATAAAAAAACATACTGTACAACTTTGTGTGAAAGGAAATAAAATATATATATATATATATATATATAATATATATATTTATCACTAGATGAAACTAAAATGTTTATATCGCTTTTCATTTGAGTTTGGTTTAAATAAAATATATACTGTAAGTCTACGTTAAATATCACTCATGAATATTGTAGGACAACAAATCGAAACGAAGAAACATGTTATTTAAATTATTATATTGATTAATTCTGCATTCACAATGCCATAATTAAAATTATTCTTAATACAAAATGCTTAAAAAATCCCCTTGGTCCCTGGCACCATGACAGTATTAAGAATAATTTTATTTAAATCTCCTATAAATTAATTATAAAAAGCCGTTGGGATACACCAACATATAGAAAAAATAAAAAACAAACAATTTATTTTTTCGCTTATTAGCAAACTGAAACGTACCTACTATTTTCTGTATAGCATAGCTACACGGTTGTTATGTGGAAATACTTATTGGAAAAAAATCTTTTTGGTGTTCATTTTCCTTTGTTACTTAGGGATTTTGCAATGCATGTTTGTTTAACAGACAGAATCCCGTAGAAATTCTGTTGCGAAATCCGGAGGTTTTTTCTGCCTAGCTACTAGAAAAATTGTTTACATTTTGGCCGGAAAGATTCCTGTAAAATTTCTGTTTCACGACTTTTTAAACTCAGCTGATTTCCGGCTACACCTCTCAGGTTTCATGTCAACCATTGTTGGGCTTAATCTTGGTATTTCCTGATCTAAATTGTTATTCTTAAAGTATAAACTTGTTAATTCATTTATGAGAATAGACATCAAACAACAAAATTGACATGAATTATCTCTCTCTGTAAGATCTTTTTTTTTAATTCAACATATATTTAAGAAAGTTACTGATTTTTTCATACACATATCTAAACTACAATAACCTTTAAAATTAATCAATTTGAAATGTAATATAATTGTATTAATTTAATTACTCATAGGTTCAATTTGTCGATTAGTTACTGTAATTGAGACGTATATTCTACTTTGGCTTTAAGCTAACGGGTAAACAGTGGATCGTATTAGAAATCATACTTCTATGAATATTTGTATGATGGTCTCGGAGTGAGAATACGACTCGCACTTTTCCGACTATGGTTAGCTTATAGTGTGCGTGAGTCACAACGCACCTGGTAAAGGAAAACATCATTGTTGTTGGTATCGGTTTGCGCCGCTTCTACCATCTGGTGCCGCCGCTAGCACTGTTAGATAACAAATGTTGATCAACATTAGAAACTGGGAAAGTGAACTTGAACCAAAAAATGTACAAACAAATTTAATGTACGACTTTTAAATATTTTCTTCAAGTAAATAATGTTGTCTTGATAACCTAGATTTGTATTCATTTTTCATATTTTGGCACTTTTCAAATTAGAAATTCATTTGTAATAAATTATTTACGAACATCGTTTCTTAGTGCCGAGTTAGTGATTTGGCGTGGGAGGCCCTGGTCTCTGATTTAGAAAAGAAAACGAAAGGTGAAAGTAAAAATTTATCATCATTGCCATTACTTATGTTACATTTTGAAATATGTTTATGTTTGTTTGTAAACATGTAATTATGATTTTGACGTTCCAAGCGATTTAGAGTTATGAATTAATAAGAATAAATTAATAGTATTAAGAAAAAGGAGCTAAATGTGAAGCATAATGCTATAAGAAGATCAACAGTATAAAAGACTTCAACGCATCCCACGAAAAAAATGCGAGATATTTTTGTGTGTTCTACTCCCAAAAAATCTTATCGTAAGAAAAAAACATTGGACATAAAAACACTTATTGAAAACTTAACAACATTGGAAGGAATAATGTAAAATTATTAAATAACTTGTCTATTGAGTAATTAACATGAAACTGATTTAGTCGCATACTAGTGTGGAGACGCTTTGTTTACATGTGGCGAGCGACACGTGCCGCTTGTACGTACACGTAACACGCGCGACCAGTAATCAGTTATCGGCGGCGAGAGTGATCGCGCATCGCGACTATTATGTCACAGCAATTAAAAACTATGTCGAGCATGCGAGGAAGGAAGCAGCGGAAAGCGCTAAAGAGAGGGGCGTCGGTGGGAGGAGGGCGCGGAGGAGCCCGCGTGCGGCAGTCGCGCGCTGCCCGCCGCCGCGCACGCACGCATGCTGCGGGCCCTCGCGAGCGCCATGAGTGAGCAGTGAAATCCATGGAGTACCAACACCAGCCCCTTCAGCCGCTCGGGCCACCAGCGCCGCCGCCGCAGTTGCTGCCGCCCGCGCCCCCGCCGCCTCTACCCTCGCTGCCTCAGCTGCAGCACGCGCACGCGCACGCACACGCACAAGAAGACGACCGCTGGAACCAGTACCACATCTGGAGACAACACGTGTTCGTCAACGGTCAGTGCTGTGCTCGCTCGCACCAGGAAGCGCCCGCGCACTTTCTCCCAGTTGGATGCTGCCCGCGAGAGCCGTCGAAAAAAGAGAAAGTGCGCGAGCGCCGCCCGATATCGGACGCGACTTTTCGGTTCATCGAGAGCTCTTTGTTTCGGTGATTTGGAACTTTCACCCGCGGCGGGGCCCGACGGCCACCGGCAATCAGCTTTTCGGCAAGTCACAACACTGAAGTCATTCATACTTATTTATAGTTACCTAAATGTTTTTTCACACATTCATTAACGCAAATATCGACGTCTGTATTGTGCTCAGCAATCTTGATTTGACCTTACTAGAATCAGCTACCCCTTAACCTATATCATATATTTAACCGCGGGTCGATGTGGAGGCGATAAGAGCTTGGTAGACGCTCTGTGTCGGTGTGTGTAGTACACGTACTTGGTTAAGTGGGATTACTATGGACACGTGTAAGTTAGCGCACAGTGCAAACCCGATTAGTTCAAAAGCATAGGGAAGCCTTATGATGTTTCTGTCGCCCACACAATGGGGGCGATCTGAATTTCTATTATATTTCACGTTCATTAACTTGATTATTGCTTAAATTGTTCCCCTTTATATTATTGTATACGGACCTCTTATTGACTTGTCAAATTCAAAAATTCTCCCTGATAACTCGATAACTAGCAATAGGATAAGTCTCTAACAAGAATACACCACGTAAATCATGATCCTTTTACTCATACTAGTTAGGTTTAACTAAAATTTTTCACAATGAGACTTCGAACAAATAGCAAATATAGAAAGAGTCATTTAAGTGTACTGAATTTTTTTGGCCGCCGCGTAAAACTGGAATGCTTCCACAGAATGTACTTCTCTTCATCTCGTTAATATATATGACCAGCATAATATTGAATAAAAATTGCAATAAATATAAACACAATTTTACTGGTACATCATTTACTTCAATAATTTTATATTTAGTCTTAATTAATTCAAAGCTACGCAGAATTTTTCGAAAACGTGTCCTCTTAACTTTAATAATCCGGTTTTTACTCTGCTTTAATCTCAAAGTAGTTTAGTCTCGCTTAATCTTAATTTGAAAACAAGTGGTGATCAAATTTCGGAGTTGAGGAATCGTTTTACCAAAGATGAAGATTAGAATTCTCGATCGACCGGAAATTTGTAACTTCTTGAAGTTTAAAAACAAGAAGATATTTTGATAATTATTTACTTCCGTGTGATACTCGTGAATTAACCACAGCGCGGCCCGGAAGCCGCTGCGCTAGCGTAAGGCGGCGGGGGCGCAGGGTGCATTTCACTGCGGGGTCGCCTTTCTAGAGCTGAGGAGGTAAAGATCATCAGCCTGTTGTAACCATCTCTTACACGAGAAAAATTTAATAAACTCTTTTTCGACAGAATATTTATGATCGACTTTTCTGGAGAAAGTGACTTTCCCCACTTGAGCTCTGAACATAATAAATGATTACGGTGATGTTTTATTTATGGCGTTGATCAGGACCGATTAGAATTACATTTATTGTTTCTTAAAATTTTACACCTACCTATTCTTTAGTCTTATTTCGTTATAAAACGTACGTAATCATGTACATCGCTAATAATTTAACAGTATTTTTCTCTTGGATTTCGGATCAATACTGGTCAAACTTTTGTACTGTCCTATGTAATTATTTATTAGATATTTATATGGCTTCAGCGATTAAGAACGAAGCAACGAACACTGAAATCTCATACCTTAAATCAGCTTAACATTTGAATATATTTATCTAAAACATATTTCAATTATATACATATCCGAGAAGTTCTTTCTGCTTAGAGTAACCGTGTACCAAGATGCGACAAACTCAAGAGCTAGATAAGACATTTTAGGTACTCATCTTGTTTCATAGATTATTTATTTAGATATAAAGTTTAAGCTATATCAGCATTCACGAACGTCATCTCACTTATTGTCACTTGTCACTGTCACTCATTCACTTGGATAGTACGAATCGAATTCGTATCGAGCACAAATATTAAGAAAGAAATTTATACTGAAAGACTAAGTTTGCTTTACCAACACGTAAGTCACTATTCATGTGCAAATACGAAAATTTGCCGTTTTTGATTGACAGAAGCTTGACAAGTTACGTTTCGTCGTTCAGTGAAAAACTGACAGAAGATCCGTCGCGCGTTTCACAGAAGTATGCGTTAGAACGGGAAAAATCCCTCTTCGGATATGCACCAATTCTGAGGGTATTGATCATTGATATCATTAATTATCGTCTGTAGCACGACCTTGACACAACAGCACAAACATGTTAGTTTAAAAATAATATCTTACGTTTATCGCTACCCGGTTGCAACGTGACCTTATCTTGCACTGCTTCAGCATAAGTGACATCGAATAGTAATAACGGTAAAACGTGTTAAGCATTCAGCTAATTATGATCCGTATTAGTTTCGCTGTAAAAGCTTATAATACAATTAGGTTCCTTTACAAATAAGACCTTTACTTTTTTTACTTTAATTCTGACGAATAAGTTTTATATTCTCATGGATATTCGTATCGTATTTTATTCTAATAAAGCATAGTTGTGTTGTGTTTTCTTCGACAACAACACATATGTAATAAAATTTGTGATATTGTAGTTCCAAAGTTCTTTAATTGCTTTATGTGAAATGTTGAATTCAAGAAAGCTGTTTTAAAAGAGCCTACTTATTATTTGTTCGCTAGTCTTGTTGAGAAATATATTTTATATTTTGCTATTTTACAACAAACATTTACTACACATTCATTTTGAGTACTTATTTATCTTGATATACCCCTTCTTGATAATGCACCCACTTCAAGATGTTCTTATTTTTGCATATTTAAACTGAAACTACATTACTATGGACATCATTCAGGTAAACAAAGCAACTTATTTCTATCAGATCATTTATATCGCGTCAGATATTCAATATGTCATGTTTCCGAGTTATATATTCAGTTTAGAAGTTTTCAAGCAAAAAGAGATTTTATCGTGTATGAAATAATGTTTTTATCTAAAATTATAAACGAACTTCAAGAAAAAAACATTTTTATCTTTATTATTCATACGAGACTTGTAGTTGCCATATCGTTTTGAATACTGTATGTCTATTCAAATGTTTGATATAAAATATTAGAAAAATTGAAATATTTGCCTTTTAAAGGGATTGATGTTCTTAATTAAGCTCATTTTTGTACTTTCAATATGATTTTGTTTTATAAGCACAAATATAAAAAGATATAATATTTACTTATCGGATTTAAAGTTTAATCCAAGTACATATGTATATATGTTCGTTTTATAATCATAAAGCTAAAAAACATATCGAGTGGAGGAATTTGACAGTTTTGTACAATTTGACGTGCTAGCGTTTTGTACCAAGAGAGGCGAGACAGACTGTTCCTTGTTTATCAATTCGAGCGTGCCCGCGCGCACTTTCACTCTGAATATTTGGAAAAAAAGCGACGACCTTTTCGCGGCTTTCTCCCCCCCTGTGCCCCGCGCCCTGCGGTGGCGTCTGTGTTCTTCCGCATCCACCTACCACTTTTACTTTCATATACTGATGACTATGCGGTTTTAACTGTTACAATTTTCTTTTATTTATTACACGAGAAATCCACTTTAATTGAATTATCCTGGAAAATGGATAATATTTTTCCTTAACAGCCTGATAATACTTTTTTTGCAGTTTTATTACAAACGAAAAATAAATTTATGGTGATATTTGTAATACTAATACTAATTGTTGGTTATGGTCAAAGCCTCTTTTTTCGATAACTATGTACTTTTTATAGTGTCTCAGTATCACGCATTTTATTTCTCTGTAATTTTCGGGCTTTATATACTTGAAAAAGAACTGTTATTTGGCAATAAAAGTACTATCATTAGAAATTGAAGCAAATCTAGAACGATCTATTTTCAATGGACTTTATCAAAGCTCTTGTTAATATTAAAATACAAGCTGTCCTGTTGACAAATCAAAATGTATGTTGAAGGGTTTTGCATTCGTTGACTAATTTTATATTCTTTGTTGGATCATTAAAATGAATTATATTAACTTGTAGAATTAAAATGTTGCTTTTGTTCATTTGTCTAAGTAGTTTGTATTTAAGTAATCTGCTGTGTGGTAGAGGAATGTTACAGGCTATAATCATAAAAATACAATTCTTAAAATTTTATGAAATTATTTGTTTATGAAAGGAACATGTGCGATCCCCATAGAGCACGCGTCTGATGCCGTTGCAGTTGCGAGCGAGAGTAAAAGTGATCTTCCTGAACACATTTGCTTCCGCGTGGAACCTCCCCTCCCCGCCCCGCGCGCTACCTTCCGACTTTTACTTTTCCGCTAACGGTGACGTTTGTGTGCGCGATCACAGCTGATCACTGTGCTCCCATTGCTAGTTAAAACTAATAACTCTTTTTTGTCTTTTCTTATGACTAAAGAGAGTGACCGATCATCTCTCCTCAAAAATGTTTTTATCCTGTGTTTAAAAATCAGTACCAATGTTTGATGAGATAGTACTTTTCATTAAAACAAATTTAAATAGTGATAAGGAATCTTTATATTCTTTTATTTAGGATTAAAGATTGTGATTAACACAAAACAGCTATTAAGATAGAAAAAAAGAAGAAGAAAATCATAGTAATAACGTGACATTGACTTTCAAGTATTTGTTTTATCAACATAAAGTGGCCTCTTAAAAGAACTCATTTAATTTAGGCTCTTTAACAAAATTATCTAACGCAGTGTTTTTCAACCTTTTTTATGTTTTACCTCGACTTTTTTTCATGGTACATTTTTTTTATAAGCTTTCTGTAAAGATGCAAAAGAATTATCTGCCGATGGGATATTTTACTTGGAATACCAGGGCAGAATAACAGGTAATGCTTATGTAATAATCACATCTCAATGGAGTCTCGATTAATCATTATCTACTTGAAGTCCAATATTATCAGTGTAATGTCTTCTATGTTTATTTTTTTTTTGTGATCTAGTAACAAGAACTGCGCCATAAGAGGTTGTAGTTGAAACGCTATTGATTTTCCGTAATTACGCTAATGTTGCCTTAAAGGAATTAACAACCGAGGCCCCACTGTTTCATTTCATTTGCCATATCGTATTTGTA